GTCATATACCTCTGGATCATGTGTGTGAGGCTGCCATAAAAAAGCTAGAATATGTTGTTCATCTGCCCCTCAAAATAGCATCCATCAATGTGTGTGAATAGTGCCTTGTCCTCTTTAATGGCCAGAGGCAAATGATTTTCAGAAATGACACAGCAGCTTCTTCCAAGCTTGTAAAAGGCGTCCTATTTACAACACTTTTGGGAAGAAAATGAAAATACATGGGGCCAAAGCGGACTGTATATCCACTTCTCGAAGCGACGGTAACTCAAGTGACTGACGACCTATGAAAATGACTGAAGCATCCTCGGGGTTCATTACACTGCAGTTTTTTTTTTTTTTCTGAACATGTGCGTCCCAGTCTAACCCTCCCCCCCCTCCCTCATCTGTTCTGACGTCAATCCTTTCGCATTCAGCCGCCACAAAGCTTCCTAACGTTGACATCATTATACAAACTGGCCATTTTCGGGGAAGAACTGATGGTCTGTTGACTGATGTTTTTCTACAGCAGCAGGCTCCTCATTTAGCCCTTCGTCTCCATGATATCAAGATTCCAATATTTATTATTGGATAAAACTAAAACAGTTACTCGAAAAGAGGCATCAGTTCCAAACTTATTGAGAAACCTACTACAAAGTCTCTCTCTCTCTCTCTCTTTATATATATATATATATATATATATATATGTGTGTGTGTGTGTGTGTGTGTGTGTGTGTGTGTGTGTGTGTGTGTGTGTGTGTGTGTGTGTGTGTGTGTGTACATACATGTGTATTTATATATATAAATATATACATATGTATATATTTATTTATACAATTATGTCTGTAAATATGTATGTATATAAATACACATACACACCTATATATATATATATATATATATATATATATATATATATATATATATATATGTGTGTGTGTGTGTGTGTGTGTGTGTGTGTGTGTGTGTGTGTGTGTGTGTGTGTGATATGAACTACACACACACACACACACACACACACACACACACACACACACACACACACACACACACACACACACACACACACACACACATATGGGTATATAGACATATCAACACTTTCGATATAGCCCAAGGTACAAACATGCAGTAATAACAATGTCTCTTAAGCTCTCTTTTCCCTTATGAAGTACCCCATCATTTCCTCCTTGCCCGCTGACGATCTCCGGCCATCCATCTGTTTCGCAGTGGGGCCTCGTGTGTGAGCGAGTTTGGATCAAGCGCTGGGTCTCCACGTCATACCTCTTCGGCCTCGTGATTGGTGGGCTTCTGTTTGGCTTCCTCGCTGATAGGTGAGTCCCAAGGTAGATGGAGGTTGTTATGGAAGTACGTGTTATGGTAGAAGTAGGGGGATTTTGTTTCTATTAATAGGTGTTGTGATAGAGCGCATGGTGGTAATTCTCATAAGGTTAAGTTTTTTTTCCCTTTTCTTTTCTTTCTTTCTTTTTTTTTTGTTGTTTTTTTTTTTTGTTTCTTCTTTTCCTCCTCGTCCTCCTCCTTCTTCTTCGATCCATTTTAATATCGTGTTACGCTCATGAATGTCGTTATTGTATAGACTCCTCCCCTTCGCAGAAACATTTCATCTACATATATGTAATTTTATCATGTTCCACTTATTTTCCTCATATTTCGGATAATATATCTGATTCTTTTATATGTTCAATTTCTTAAAAGGAGGTCACCTATTTACTAACAGGTCTCGAATGCGTGTCATGTCGTGACTAGAACAACAGTAAAGATAATGAATATACAAAAATACATATTTGCATATAAGTGTATATGTACACACACACGCACACATATATGTGTGCGTGCGTGCGCGCGCGCACGCGCGCGCGTGTGTGTGTGTGTGTGTGTGTGTGTGTGTGTGTGTATGTGTGTGTGTGCGTGCGTGTGTGCGTGTGTGTATGTATCTATGTATGTATATACATATATTCATTTATCTATTTATCTATTTGTTCATTTATGTAACTGCATAAGGCATCTACACGCATTAAGCTATCTGTTTTTGAGTTCCTTCCAGATTCTAGCATTTGTTTGTACAACAAATATACAGACTTTTCATAAATGTTTTCCTATATCTTCTTTTGATAAGTCTCCTTTGGATTAAGATCAAAAGCGAAAGAATGGTTGTGTCCCAAAACTGGGGATTGACATTTTTATAAACAGAACAGAGAAAAGCTATTCATATAGTGAAAAGGAAGATTTTTTCCTGGGATTTTGAAAGACGACTGTTTTTCCAACATTCTATGATTAAGAGCCTTTGGAACGATGCGGGTCTTCAGTGTGTCCACACATATCACGGGAGAGTTCCTGAATGTGTCTATACAACCATAACTACATATTTTTTTATATATAAACACATATATATACATATATTTATACATATATATATGAAGATACATGTATGTGTATATATACATACATACATATATGTGTGCGTATATATATGTGTACATGTATATGTTATGTATATAAATACATATATATATATATATATATATATATATATATATATATATATATATATATATATATATATATATATATATATATATATATATATATACATGCATACGTATAGATTTATATATATGCATATACATATGTATGTATATGTGTATATCTATATGTCTAAATGTATATATGTGTATATGCATATATGTAAATATATATATATATACTTTATGTATATTGTGTATATATATGCATATACATATACATTAACTTATATATATGTATATATTATATATATACTGTGTATATATATATATGTATGTATGTATTTATTTTCTACGTATTCATTTATCCATAATTCTATAGCTCAGTATTTGCAATGATTGATTTTTAAAATAAAGCTATTTCTTGAGTCATTTGGAAGAAAACGGAAAAAAAAGAACATTACGTGAGGTTCACAAACTTTGAGCTTGTTAGACTTTTGCAAAGGGAAAGCACGTAAGTTCGTCCCCGTGAAGGTACTGGACAAAAGAAGAGAAAGAGAGAAAGAAGAGATACTTGTTACTGATGACATGGTCTCACATTAATCATTTAGATGTGAAACTCGTAATATATTCAGATTGAAGCGACGACAACAATTCGATAAAAGTCATTACTGAGGAATACATGTCAGGTTAAGCCTAAAAGGTATTTCCGCAGATTTAGGTTAGGAGGTTATTGGAGAAGTACTTAAGGTATAAATATTCAAAGGAACTACGTCACTATCTGTCTATTCTTCGTCGAATCTCACGAAAGGAAAATCTGGCAACTTTACCCAAGACTCTGGACTACATCGATTAGCCAAAAAGTTTCTTTTTGAGAAACAGCAGTTTGCATGTTTTGTAAATAAACAAAAGCATATATATATATATATATATATATATATATATATATATATATATATATATATATATATATATATATATATATATATATATTACATAAGAATTCTAAAGATATCACATGTATATATATATATATATATATATATATATATATATATATATATATATATATATATATATATTATATTTATATATACATATATATAAGTGTGTGTATATATATATATATATATATATATATATATATATATATATATATATATATATATATATATTACATAAGAATTCTAAAGATATCATACTTTTGAAAAATCAAATATGTATATATATATATATATATATATATATATATATATATATATATATATATATATATATATAATCAAATATCCATTAGAATACATAAAAAAGCGAATTAGGTGAGTTGCCAGTTCGCTCTTCTCTGAGACAGGATGCGCTGTAGTAATGAAGTTATCAGCGAGGGTCTTTCAGTTCCAAATATGTTCTCTTCTTCTTCGTTAAGAACTTTCCGCAGCAATATTTGAACTTGTTAATGTGGCCTATGGATGATAAAGGGCTTCTTTGGGCAGAGGCGTGGAATTTCCTATTTCATTTCCAGTTGAGATGTGAATAAATATATATTTTTTATAATAATCATGATAATAGCAGTAATAAGGATAAAGATTACAATAATGGTAATTATAGTGATAATAGCAAAGATGATAATGCTAATGAAAATAATAATGATAGTTATATGATGATACTAATGGTAATGGTGATGATGATACTGAAAATAATGATAATAACATTAATAATAATAATGATAATAATTAAAATAATAATAATACTGATAACAATAATGATAATGGTAATAATAATAATGATAATAATCAAAATAATAATAGTACTGATAACAATAATGATAATGGTAATAATAATAATGATAATTATAATCTACTACTACAAATAATAATAACAATAACAATAATACTACTAATGACGATAATAATAATAATAATAATAACAATAATGATAATAATAATAATTATGATAATGATAACAATAATAACAACAATAATAAATGAGGGCGCTACAGTCTTCCTCAGTTGAAGAAGCGGTGAAGTACATCTTACAAGCTGGAGCCAAGTGCCCACAAAAATGTTTTATCACGAAATTCTTTTCATGGCAACACTGGCCAACCTAACATGAGATACTCTGAAGCCCAACACTCTCACCCTCCTCGGCTTCATTCCTTTGTTCCCTGACTTCATTTTGGCCTTTGTTGGTCATGCATCCGGTTGCAGCCCATTGCTCCGTTCTTGTTATTGCGTTTTCCTCAATAGGGCACCGTTATATAAAGAGAGAAGTACAATTGATTCAGAATTTGTCAGCTTGATCTTGCTTATCAGATCCCTTTGAGTTCGGGTGTTAAGGTCGTATGACTTTCGAATCAAATATGATGATAAAATATATACCTAAAATTCAGACGTTACCTAATGACCTGAATGGATCTCGCCCGTTTTAATAAAGAAGGCAGCATTAAAGGAATATAATAAATGAACAAGAACATGATACTGTGCGTTTTCTATGTCAATAAATCAGAGCAGTATATAATGTTGTTTCTTCTTTGAATTGGACAGA